GAATGAGGAACATAAACATCAGCTGTTACCTGGGGCAGGTATCTCCTACCACGGGGTTACTCAAGTGCCAGGGTCTGATGTGGGGTTGGGGTTGCTGCAGGTCAGCTGGGAATGAGCCCCACTCAGCAGAGTGGGAGCAGCCCTCACCCTGGGGAGCAACAGCAAGGTTGGCTGTGTGCTAAGGAATGAAACACTTTGTTTCTATAAACAATGCATAAAATCCTTAAAAGTGCAAGTGTACATTCTCAAAAGCAACAGGAAGCCCTTGAGCCCCAGTCTCTAAAGCAGCTGCAACTGAATTACCTGATCACAAGGATCCATAGTATACAACCTGCCCAAATACTGAGAATGTGGGCCAAGAGCTTAGGCTTCACTAGTAAGCAATGAAACAACGGCTCAAAAGAACTATGGTTTGTGAGTATTTAACTGTTCAAATATGGCATTGTGAAACACATCAGTAGCACCAAAGCAGTCCTTGCAATTTCACGGCTATTCAAATTTACAGCATTTCAAACACTAAACTTGCTTCCAGTGGAGTATTGCTTTTTAGTCCTGCAAAGAGTTCTTCTGATACAAAACCTAACAGTGATCAAAAAGCAGTGAATAAGATAGAAGTTTTACTTATATTTAAATACAAGTGATGATTAATATTTAAAAAACAACAACAACAAACAAACAAACAAACAAACAAAACCAAAAAAAGCCAAACAATTAGTAAAGACATGATAGGACAAAAGGCAATGGCTTTAAGTTGTGCCACAGGAGGTTCAGATTGGATATTAGGTAAAATTTATTCTCAGGAAGAGCAGTGAGGTGTTGGCACAGGCTGCCCAGGGAGGTGGTGGAGTCGTTGTCCCTGGCAGTGTTTAAGGAAAGGGTGGATGTGGCGCTGAGGAACATGGTTCAGCAGGCATGGCGTTGACAGGTTGATGGTTGGACTGGACGATCTTAGTGGTCTTTCCAATCACAATGATTCTACGATGCTACGAAAGCTGGGAACCTGCTTTAGCAAGGGGCTGGACTTGACAATGTCCAGAGGTTCTTTCCAACACCTCTGATTCTGTGATTCTGTGAAAGATGAACGGAGATGGCATTTTAACTTGCTCCCTTCTGCCAACATGGTTTTCATATGAAAATGAAAAGACTGTAGAATTAAATTCAAAAGTAATCTAATAGAAATTCCATGTAAGCTGAACAACATTCAGTGGACTCAAAGCTGACCTGGCATTTGTGATATTTCACTAAATCAGAGGTGTTATTTTTCTTGTTGCTGTGTCCATGGGCTCAGGATGACTGCAGGTTCTCCATCCAAAGTGATGTACCAGAGAACATTTGGTAGGAATGCATTATGTTTGCATTACTGCAGACTACATGATGTGCTAGTACAGATGTCAGGTGAGAATTTCAGTTACAACAAAAATCAGTACAAAGTCTGTAGCTGGCCAGCGTACCAGGAAACCTCTGCACATTTATGTAACTCTGTTTGTTCCAGGCCTGTCAATCCAAACTGCCCCAGTAAGAAAAGTAAAGCAACTACAAACAATTATTTTCAAATAACAAAACTCCTAAATTGTAATTAAAGAAACACTGAGCTCTGTTCTTTTCCCATATAAGACAGCATTCCATGCATATCAGGGATTAGTCAGAATTCCCCTTCTTCCATCTTGCCTTTTTGTAAACTTTACTTTTAATGTCAGCTTCCTAAACCACAAAGCTCTCTCTCTTGTTCTGCTGTTATTCACTGGGGCAAAATGAAATGCTAAGGCAAGGATAGAACACAGGTGTGTTTATCCTGTGCCAGAGCAAAAGGAATTTGCACTCTAGCAGGAGTGGAAACACAAGCAAGAGGATATGGGGTCGTTTCCAGCCTTTGCCTGTTGTGGTGTAGGTCGGCTCACTGAAGAACACCAGCTAAAGGATCATAGAATCATAGAATCATGGAATGGCCTGGGTTGAAACTAGATGAAATGATAATCTAGTTTCAAGCTCCCTGCTATGTGCAGGGTCGCCAACCACCAGACCAGGCTGCCCAGAGCCACAGCCAGCCTGGCCTTGAATGCCTCCAGGGATGGGGCATCCACAACCTCTCTGGCAACTACACACACAATATGTCAGCGCAGTAGCCAGTCTTGCTGTGTGATGATGAGCAGATATATCTAAAGCACATACTAAATGTCATTATGACCTGGAGTACTGACTACAAAGCCACATTCCACTACGCTGGAGCCACAGAAAGAGTACAAAGAAATGGATGGTAACCAGGGAGCGACTTGCAAGAGTAGGGTGAGAAACAGAGTGGATAGTGTATTTATGGTTGCTGTGCTCTTAAGTACATGGTGATCCCTCTCCAGTCCTGGGAGGAGAAAAATGCAGTTGTGAAACCTTCTTCATACCCACTCTCCTCAATATTAACTAACCAATGGTAATGGTCCTTCTCTAAAGATAGCTTTTCCATGTTAAACACACTCACATAACCCAGTGTAATCACATAAATAGCTACTGTGCATACAAATCAGGTATCTTCCTCAGGATTTAAATGTGTGGTGACCAGTTAGAGTATTCATGCTAATTCCTGCTTACAAAAATAATGTTTAATTATGAAAAAAATATTGTGAAGTAATGCCTGCAGAGTTAATAGACAAAACATATGAAAAAGGGCTCTGCTTTCCAAAGCAAATCCAGCAGTAGATCTTCAATCGCAAATATTGTCAAATATTTACAAAACACTTTGAAACTCATTCTTAGCCATATACAAGACACAAGACCATATACAAGATTACTCAAAACTATTTCAGCATAAATGCTGGCATTTCTGACCACATATTTTTCACCCTGACTCTTCACCAGAAAATGTTTTAAATAGCTGAGAGTATTCTTGCACATGGATTTGTTTGTCAGGAACATCCACAAAGTTTTCTGCACATACTGCAGAGTACTACAAAACCAAAAGCCAACATCCTCCCAAAGCAAACGCCAGAAAAATAGTGGTCTCTGTGAATAAAGGAGGGTACTTAGGACACTCTTTAAGAAACTATGGAGCTACTCTCTCCATTGACCACTAGGCTAACAGTGAGAGTCCTCCTTTCCCTCCAACCACACTGCTGTCCAGGTGCATCTGACATAGATTTGAACATATTTGGCTTCCTATCAGTGCCTCTGGGAATTAATGGGAGCACTTCTTTTGGCTCCCAGGTGATTTGATGTCTACATTTTCAACCATCAATTGATTTTAAGTTTCACTTAAATTTTGAGGGCACATGAATAGCTCCAATAAAGCCTCAAATTAAGTGCGTTAAGGCATGACTAGGTGAAATTTAAGCCTAATGCAACTTGATATATTCAATAGGAAGTGCTCAAGTGTTGACCACTGAATGCTTGTAATCAATTTTTCCACGAAATCGATGAGAGAACTTGTAGAAAATATTTAATAATATTAAAAAAAATATATGTAAAAGTAAAAACAAACACCAGAAACCAAAGAGAAAATAAGTGTAATGAACAACTTCGGAGTAATAAAGTTATTCCGTAAAAACACTGACAAAAGTCACAGCTTGAACTATGACACAGATACCCTCAAACTCCTGATTTTTATCCCATTTAGAGCAAAACACCTTCTGGTCTTTTAATACTAGAAGACAAGGGGGTGCTGTGTAGATAGAAGCAAGCTATACTGTCATGGAAAATTATAGCCTGCAGGGGCACGCAGAGCAGTTCAAAGGTTTCCTTCTTTTTTTTTTTTTTTTTTTTTTGCTGTCCATTTGCTGGCTGGTGGGCTCAAAGGAACTGACAGCAGCCTCTCAGCTTCACTCTGGACTCAAACCTACTGAGGGGAAAGAGGAAAATAAAAGGCTCCTTGCTGTAATTTGTCAGCAATAGTGGATATTTGGGACACTTCGGTACAACAGGACACTCAGAGGTGCTTGAGATCATCAGAAGTTAAGCAAACATGCAAATTCTTGCAAGGAAGGCGTACTGGTTGGACTTGGGACTGTAGTGAAGGAATAACAGAATCACAGAATACCTGGAGTTGGAATGGACCCACAAGGATCATGGAGTCCAGCTCAAGGTTCCACACAGGACCACCCAAAATCCAAACTCAATGTTAGACAGTGTTGCCCAAACGCTCCTTGAACTCCAGCAGCTCAGGGCTGTGCCCACCGCCCCGGGCAGCCCGTTCCATCACACCGCCCCCTGCTGCACACCCTGTCCCTGACCCCCACCCCCCTCCCCTGCGCAGCTCCATGCCGTTCCCTGGGCCCTGTCGCCGTCACACAGAGCAGAGCTCAGCGCTGCCCTCCGCTCCCTGTGAGGAGCTGCAGCTCTTCTGCTCAGGGCTGCACAACCCGAGGGACTTCAGCTGCTCTTCATACTTCTTGTTCTCTAAACCCTTCACCATCTTTGCGTCTCTTTTGGACATTCCCTAATAATAATTTTATGTCTCTCAAATATTGTGGTTCCCAAAAATGCACGCAGTAGTTGAAGTGAGGCTGCACTTGTGCAGAATAGAGTGGGACTATCAGTCGGGAAAAGAGGAAAGGCCTTGTTGATTCAGTTCAGGGACCTTTGGGTGATCAGGGACTGGGAAAGCTGCAAGGAAGAAAAAATTTGGTCCAGGGCAAGTGGGAAGAATCAGATCCATGTGTACATTTGCACATCAGGATCAAAGCAGCTTTCCCTTCCTGAGCTTCTCATGATGTCCACCCTGCATCATGGGTTGCACTGCCCTGGAATCCAGGGCGCAGAGGACTTCTGCCTTCTGGTGAAGGTCTGGGCACTTCCTGCTTCCCTGAGATCACTGGGAAGTCCTGTGCAATCCTTTCCTTCTGTTCCCTGTGTGAGGCTGGAAAGCCCTGCAGAAACACAGGTCTTGGCCTCCTAACTATAAAACACCTGGCATGCCTAAGTAGGCGTAATGCGTGACAGGAGGAGGCAGCTCAGAGATAGGGGAGGACTGGGACATAGGCGAGGTGAGTAGGCAGGAGCAAGACAGGGCAGGCCCAGCTGCAGTAAGGGTAGGAAGTTCAAAGATGGAACGTGCAGCTGGGCGCAGCTTCCAGCCCCCTGTACGGGCTGCAGCGTGGCTCTGGGAAGGCCTCCTGAGATACCCGGACGCAGCAGAGAAAAGCCAAAGCAGCTTCTGAGCAAACATCTTCTAAAGGTGAGTGCTCTGAGGGGGATCTGGCAACGGTAGGGGTTAAACGTTGTGAAAGTATCAGCACCTGAACTACAGATCACATCTCAGATTTCAGGCGTTATCGTTTACCGACATCTAAGAGAATACACCCTCGTGTTTCATCACACTATTTATTGAGCTATAAGGAAGCAAAGAGAGGGGAATCCACTGCTTCCCTGCCTGCTCAGGGCTGTGACCAGACGTATTAAGAAAAGCTAAATGACCACTGACTCTCCAAGCCATGCTGACTTCCACTAAAGCAGTAGTCAAATGGCAAAAACTCCAACTCCACTAATATTCAGGCAAGCTTTTCTGGGGTGTCTTATCCCTCAGAAGTCGTTATGCTAAATCAGACATTCAAAAAGAGAGAGAGTCCCACAGAACTGAAACTAGTCAGGAAATCATAACCTTGTCACATCCTCTCTGCTCTTTGTCTATGCTGACCATCAGCAGCACATCACTGACATAATGATAACATGACCACTTGTGCAGTCCTGCACGGTGTGCGTGTGCCTCCTTGCAGTGTCACACTTCTCAATGCTGAGCAAGAAGGCCACAGATGGATCTTAGTCACTGCATCTCTCCCTCTCCCATGCAGCAAGGCAACTACTGGTCCGTGCAATTTTTTCTATTCCCTGCATTTTCAGCAGTTTGCATAGTTAAAATATATTCAATTGCTTAATGAGGGATATCATCTGGAGCAAAATTAAGATTGGGAAGTCTGCATTCTGTGTCTTTCTAAGCAAAATGCCTTTAGGTGTCTTGAGAAAAAACACTTATTTTCAGCTCTGTCAGCTGCAATTTTATCTCGCCTCCCCTCCTTTTTTTTTTTTTTTTTGTTTTGTTTTGTTTTGTTTTGTTTTGTTTTGTTTCAATATCAAACGCTTTCATACAGAACCCAAACCTTTCCAAAGCTAACAAGGAAAGGATTTCTTCCTCCAACTGAAGTGGAGTTAGCAAGGTTGTGATGAAGCACTGCATGCCGAGACCTGTACAATGTCAGCGATGAATGTGTATTAAGATGAGAAGATTCATAAAACTCTGGGCAAAAAGATTGGCCCCATCTCTCTACTGCCTGATGTATACATCGTTATTTCAACAGCAGACAAACAGAACAGAATGTTTATAGGAGCATGCAGGTAAATCTTGACACTGTTTTGTTTCTTCTGTAGTTAGAGATGACAGAACACATGATTATGGAAAGCAATTGAAGTCTTTCTTCCCAAATTAGATGATTCATTAGTCCTTGCTGATGGTGTTGTCTTCAAACCAAAGGATGTTGAAGATCATGAGAGGAGGAAGAAGGAAGAAAGAGAAGGCACAAAGCACAAGTAATGTGGTGCACTTTAGCAATCTCTGCAATCCTAAATCACCCCTGTGTGCATCCCTTGAAGATATAGATACAGATATGGATACACAGAGGCAAGAATGGAAGGAAAGCATCAAGAAGCACATAAACAATAGCTATGTGGAAGGCTGAAGATTAAGTGCAAATAATAGTCTAGACGTCAAGTCATGTACTTAAAGCCCATTCATAATTTCTCACTTTAAACATCGCTCTGTGTACCCCAAAATGAGTAAGCCTGAGCAGAGCTCATAAAAACCCTAGTCAGAACACAGGGACTGAGAAGGGTGTGGGTTAATGTGTGCTACATCCTCACCTGCCTCAGTCAGAATAACTAGAACAAAGCCAATGCAGCTGTGCCAGTTTACACTCGCTTAAGCTATGACCTGTTTAGACATTTTTGGAAGGAGTCCAGTGATAGAGTCTAGACATTGTTACTCAGAAATAACTTGATCTTCATCTTTTCCTTTTCTATAGAAAGGAAGAGGAAATGTATGTCACAAAGCAACATTTCATGCAGAACAGCCAGGAAAGACTGGATGGTAACCCAATTAAAGGCAGATCAAAAATCTTTCAAAGCCATTTATAAAGTCGCATAAACCATCTCTGTCTTCCTGAGACTGAATGAAAAGAGATTACACATGGAGCAGGGAATCAGGTGATCTGCCTTGCAAAATCTTCTTCGCCTCAGAGAACATAATTCAAGAGACCATTTTATCAGCTTTGCCCCTTGGGTCACTGCTGCAATCTTTGGCTTTTGTCTTCCTCAGTTCCTGATCAGAAAGGCCCAGTGCCCAAGAAAATGAGTCTTGTTAATGTCTGCCATCTCATGTTTGCAAGGAAAAATCTAAGGTGCTTGCAAGATCTTCTGTGTTTAGGGGCTATTTCAAACTGCACAGTTCTAAACCCCACATTTCCTAGCAAATTTGTCTAAAGCAAAATATCTAACTCTAGTATTTTCTATCTTTCTAGCCTTCATTGCCTCCAGATCTCCTGGCCACAAAGTTTTATTTTTGGCTTATTTTTCTTTGTTTAACTTTCATGGAAGCGTTCAGCATGCTCTCTCCATCAAATATCAGCACCAAGAGGCAGGAGATGAGGGATTCTTTGAAGGGAACATCTGTGAAGTCTTTGTGCTATGCCTTCCCAAAGGCCCTGACATTCTGTCTCTTCCTTTGCTCCTACTTCAGCTTCTTGTCTCTTTACAAGCAGCTTTTTAACTGTATTTTTAGATAGCTGAACAATTCAAACAGTTTGCCTGGAGCCAGCATTTAAACTTAGACCTATATTTTCAGGGCGAAAAAAAAGGTTTAAAGTCAGGCTGCTTATTTAGAAGTTTCACAAAGGTCAATCTCCTGCTGATATTTTTACATACTTTAGTTTTGTAGCTGCTTATATTTCCAACAAAAAAACGTGCACTTTATAGAGGAACATGTTATGTGTTTAAAAAGAAAAAGAGGCTACCAAATGAATAAAATAATAGAGTTTGTTTATTTACCTCCACTTCTCAGGTTAAATTCACTGGGACTGCCTGGGTAGAGCCCAAGCTATGATTTGAAGAGATGAAAAGGTTTATGTTTGAGCTTCTCAAACATCACCCACACCTTGCAATGACAACAGAACCAATAAAAATATACTCATTTGCTAGTTCTCACTTACCAAAAACATTTCTGTAGGATAACAGCAGGAGGAAGAAGTGTGCTGCTTTACATGCTGGCCAAAAAGCAGGATAAACCTCACTAAGAGAGTCTGCTAGCTGAACAAAAGCACATTCATGTGTCCAGATTCTAGTTTGATCCAATAGGGCACAGGTTCTACTTACAAGCTTGGAACCACAGCTTTCAAAGATACTTTGAGAAGAAATTCAAATGATCTCAGCAGCTATCAGAATGATTGGATATTTAGGAATAAAAATGCTAAAGCACACAACCTCTCATCTCACAAGCATGTCTCATTCCAGACTGCAGCAGTCACTGGGAGATAGAAATAGTCCTTGACACACAGATGAGTGAGATCTCCAGCTATCTCCACTACAGTTTGCTCTCTGGTCCCAGCAAATCCAACCTTTCTGAGTTTACTGAGATACCCATTAAGAAATTGTTGCCATCAGCCCCATGAAGACACTACATAAAGATGAAGGATGGGGAACTCCAAGGCATTCTCCATTGAGAAGGGAACAGTGGTTTCCCAAAGTCTTCATACAAAGTGTATCCACCTTAGGTACTGCCATTCAGAGGGACCTCGACAGGCTTGAATGGTGGGCCTGGGTGAACCTGATGAGGTTCAGCACGGCAAAGTGCAGAGTTTTGCACTTGGGCCAGAGGAATCCCAGGCATCCATACAGACTGCAAGGAGCGGTCCTTGAGAGCAGCCCTGCAGAGAAGGACCTGGGGTCCTGATGGATGAAAAGCTTAATATGAGCCAGCAGTGTGCCCTTGCAGCTCAGAAGGCAAATGGTGTCCTGGGCTCCATCAGAAGAGGGGTGGCCAGCAGGGACAGGGAGGTGACTGTCCCCCTCTACTCTGCTCTTGTGAGGCCCCACCTGGAGTACTGAGTCCAGGTCTGGAGCCCCCAGTACAAGAAAGACAGGGAGCTGTTGGAGAGGGTCCAGAGGAGAACTATGAAGATGATCAGGGGGCTGGAGCACCTCCCCTGCGAAGACTGAAGGAGCTGGGCTTGTTCAGCCTGGAGAAAAGAAGGCTGCAGGGTGACCACATTGCTGTCTTTCAGTACCTAAAGGGAGCCTACAAACAGGAAGGAAACTCTTTGAAAGGGTAGATAACTGCAGGACAAGGGGAAATGGTTTTAAGTTGAGGGAGGGAAGATTTAGGTTGGATGTCAGGGGGAAGTTCTTTACAGAGAGAGTGGTGAGGTGCTGGAACAGGCTGCCCACAGAGGTTGTGGATGCCCCGTCCCTGGAGGTGTTCAAGGCCAGGTTGGATGGGGCCCTGGGCAGCCTGGTCTAGTATTAAATGGGGAGGTTGGTGGCCCTGCCTGTGGCAGGGGGGTTGGAGATTCATGATCCTTGAGGTCCCTTCCAACCCTGGCCATTCTGTGATTCTTGATTCTGTAGGTACCCCAAACTGGGTTGTGGAAGGTCTCAGTAGCTGACAACTTGATTCCTCCCACAGATTGAGGACAATGATCAGCTGCAAGGCTGTCCCCTAGCCACTGTGACATTACAGGAGTTCCACAGGATCCATGGAGAAGCCATGGGAGGCTCAAGGGTCACAACATGGTTACCACTATCTTAGCCTTATCTGCTTGGTATTGGGATTGCTGCTGTTATCGTCTGCCTACCTACTCCCCTCTATGCTTTTTCATTAAGGCTCAGACTATTAATGTGAAGGCAAATAAAACCATACTCTGCTGTACTTTGCTTTTTTCCTGACTGGCCTGAGTCATCCACCAATCATCTCTTCATTTTTTACTTGCTATTTCTGCTGATGTTTTAGCTACCATTTGGAGGATATCAGTGTCTTCAAAGACTGCCACATCTGCACTCTTGATACTTGGATACTTCCTTTCCCTGCACTGCTAGCACCATACCATTCCCCAGCAATAGCTTCAGACAATGCCAAATTAGAGGAGACTGAGCAGAACGGAAACCAGAACACCGGTGTGGTGACTTGACATTGATAATCAAAGAAAATATTATTTAGGTAACTATGACAGTAGATGGAAGGGTTTAGACAGAATGAGACTACAAAAGGAAAAACAATTGTGATGGCACTGTGATAGAAAGACAGTTTGCCACATTTCATCCACTCTCTTGTTCCTCTCCATGGGTATTTATAGCACACCTAAAGTAGTCCAAAGAAACTTAGCCTTCCTGTGGCCACAAAAAGAAAATCCAAAACAACTGTTTATCCTTGATATTTGCTTATCTGGGCTTATCTGGGCTTCAGCTCTCTTACCTCTTCTTTTCTCTCAGTAGAACAAAGAATCATACTAATCTCCAGGAAGGTTGGAAAATTAACTCACTAATTTTAATGTTAGTTCTAAGAACCACAAAAGGGCCCATGAGGAATTTTAAATAGAAACCACTGGAATATGATCCAAAAACTGCACAGCAAATCTCTTAAAGCCGGTCATTCAGCAGATATTATCCAACTTTTGCACTAAACAAAGCAAGCATCATACTGATAATGCAGCATGTAATCATGCTGTGAAAACCAGTACCGCAAAACATAGAAAGGGCATAAGGTAAGGTTACACAGTAAATGTTAATTCTAATATTTTTGTATTAATATTTGTAACTCAGTTTTTTTCTAATACAGCCTTTTCAATGAAATATCAGTATAAAGCAGCGAAAAAGAAACTCAAACGACAGCTGGATGTCATTTTTTCCCCTCTAAGGAATGTCACGTTTGGAATGGCCCAATGGGCAAAGGCAAAGACATAATGGTTATTCAGAAAGCAATTAGATTCTGACCGCAGGGAAATGTTTTCTGAATGGATTGAGCTTTAATAGAATAGAGCCAATAGTCTTTTTTGTTCCTTTATTTCTTATATAAGGAATCTTTTTTCCTTAGGGTTAAGATCTGGGTTAACACTGAACACATAATTATACTTTTCATTTAGTTCTTCACTATGAACTCACACGTGCATCTTTATAGTTACAACAGCTTCACTCTAAGATAGATACAAATAAAAAATGGCTAAAGATACTCTTAAATAAATGACTCTATTCCTGCATTTAACCAGAAGCCCAATTAATGCTGGTGGATTTTTAGCCTTTTCAGTTACAGAAACATGGCATTACAGGAGTAATCAGTATTGTGGGTTGATGCAAACATCAAAAGCAAGTAGTAATAAAGCCAAAACTAAAAGGATTTTACATGCCTTTGAGCAATTACAATTATTTAGAAATCTCACAACTTCTTTTGCTGGTTCTTTCTGCTTGAAGACATGAGAAGCTACAGTGTACGAAAAGCTAATAAATAACTGGACTAATTCTGCTCTGAACAACGTGGGTTAATCTCAGAGCAAAGGCATAAAGGCAAAGGCTACAAAAGCCAATGCTGCTACAAGATCTCTTCAGAGGCTAATATGCAGCAGAAAAAAATTGTGCTACTATCAGTCACTGTTTGATAACCTAAGATACTAAAA